ATCAATGATCCAACATATCCAGAGCGAGTGCGGTATAGAAACAATTACTAGTCATCCGACTCCTATATATGAAGACAACACTGCATGCATTGCTCAAGTGAAAGGAGGTTACATCAAAGGAGACCGAACAAAACATATATCACCAAAGTTCTTCTCAACACATGATCTCGAGAAAGATGGAAAGGTTGACATCAAGCAAATCAAGTCGAGCGAGAACCCTGCTGATCTATTTACAAAAGCATTGCCCCCGAATAAATTTGAAGAACTCGTACACAAGATTGGCATGCATCGTCTCTGTCAATTATGCTAAGCTGAGGGGGAGAATTTTATGAACTGTACTCTTTTTCTCTTGATCAGGTTTTTATCCCACTGGGTTTTTCCTGACAAGGTTTTTAACGAGGCAGTACATAAAATTAGAATGGGTTTCTAAACTATACCCATTTCACGAATATCCATCATCAATTGAAAAATGAACATTCAAGGGGGAGTGTTAAGAAAAATATGAATTGTTCATTTATCAATTAATTAGGTCATGTTCCATCATAAGTTGCAGGAATAAATTGTCCATCATCATTCATCACCATCAAGCTGTCATTTGTATAGTATGTATACTATTTGTAATAGTGTTAGCACTAAGCCTCTCTACTATAAATAAGAGGCTTAGGATCCCTGTAAATTACCATTAAGAATAAGAAGAAGAGTGAAGAGTTAATAGAGAGAAGAAATCAGAAATATATTATATCTATTCTCATAATCTTTGAGTAGTTTTTCTCTCATTTTATAACAGCATACCTTTTTTCGCTAATACTCCCTTAACCATACCATTCTTACAATTTTTTTATTTGTTCCAAAATACTTTTAAAAAAATGTCACATTTTAATGTTCAAAAATCACAAAAATTTAATTGATTTATACGCTTCAATTGATTATTTGATAAAATAAAATATTTTTTTCATTATCTATTTTGAAAGAATTTTCAACGTAATTTTTAAATATGTAAATTTACTTTTTATTTCTATATCAATCTTTGTAATTATGCCATTTTTTATTTTGTAAATTTTTATGTATTTTTTAAAATACATGGAGTATAAATTTTATTTTTAAATTTTATGCAATTACGAAGCATTAAATAGATTGAATTAGAAAATAATTTCAATCTATTTCAATTAAACATTGTAGATCATAATCTAAACTTTCGAATGAGATAAAGGAAATACTTGTTTTTCCTTGAAGATTATATAAGCTCTAAAACACTTCACTCTTTTAATCAGATTATAACAACTCACTCTCTACATAATCAAATTGAAAAAACAAAATTGGTATCAAAATATGATTAAAACATGAAGTTAATATTAAATTAAGACCTTCTATGTTTTTATCTTAAAAAATGTAGATAGTATGAAGCTACTCCAATTTGGCATTGGGTATATTTTAATAATATGATAGTGTTTTTTGAGATTCTATTTTGACATTAAATCGCCTATCAAAATAGAAAAGTACTATGATTAGAATCTTAAAAAAACACTAAAATTGTTAACAGAGACAACACATTGTCAAAAGGTACTATAATTAATTATGTAGACAACACATAAGAGACTGTTAATAGGGACAACACATTGTGTTTGAGTTTCATACAAAATGATGGCTCCTCAAGAGACAACCTCTCTAGAGATCTCGGCGAGATTAAATCGCAATTTACTTTTATAACCTTTCAGGTCAGGCTGTGAGGCCCCCGCGGGATCCACCTTTTGAGTCCGAGAAACGCAACCACACTGCAAAAATGGACCACTTTGGTTAACATAAAAAGGGGATCGGATGCTAAATTGACCATAATTATAAGGACTAATAGCTCTAAACCCCCCTGTGGTTTGAAAAATAGGCACCGAAACCCCTTATGTTTTCAATACTTACTCCTAAAATCCCTATAATTTCTAAAAGCAGCGTGTATACCCCCTCTACCGGATTTTTTGTGGCGCGTGAATCATACGCTCCGTTAATGGGCTGGAAATTTGAAAAAGGGGGGCATTGGTGCTCCATTTTCAAACCATAGGGGGCTGCCATGCAATTAGTTTATTTTATTATGACAAAAATGTCCTTCATCCAATGAATTTTATTTTTTTCAATGTTCCTTACAGCGTAAATGGTTTCTTTAGAACATTAAAAGTGTCATTTTTTTATTTTTAAGACGGTGACATTTTCTCATGTCTATAATACTTTTTATCTTATTCAGTTTTATATTTCTTTTTGTATTAATTTTTTGTTTTATTGTATTTCATTTCCTATTCTTTATTTACATGTTTCAATTTTGTATTTTATTTTGAAAAAGCATAAGAAATGAATTTGAGACCGATATAGTTTATGTTGCTTTTTTTATATCATTTATTTATAAAAACATTATTAAAAATTGAAAAGAAATTTTTGAAAAATCCTTATGAAAACAAGGAAATAATGAAATGAAAATAAAAAAAATGAAAAAAAACTACGTTAAAAATGAAAAAAACTACGTTTTTAACATAGTTTTTTTCATTTTTTTTTTCCTATTTTCATTTCATTATTTCCTTGTTTTCATAAGGTTTTTTCAAAAATTTCTTTCTATTTTTTAATAATGTTTTCATAAATAAATGATATTAAAAAAGTAACATAAACTATATCGGTCTCAAATTCATTTCTTATGCTTTTTCAAAATAAAATACAAAATTGAAACATGTAAATAAAGAATAGGAAATGAAATACAATAAAATAAAAAATTAATACAAAAAGAAATAAAAAAACTGAATAAGATAAAAAGTATTATAGACATGAGGAAATGTCACCGTCTTAAAAATAAAAAAATGACACTTTTAATGTTCTAAAGAAATCATTTACGTTGTAAGGAACATTGAAAAAAATAAAATTCATTGGATGAAGGACATTTTTGTCATAATAAAATAAACTTATCGCATGGCAGCCCCCTATGGTTTGAAAATGGAGCACCAATGCTCCCCCTTTATCAAATTTTCAGCCCATCAACGGAGCGTATGATTCACGCGCCACAAAAAATCCGATGGAGGGGGTCTAGACGCTGCTTTTAGAAACCATAAGGATTTTAGAAGTAAGTATTGAAAACGGGGGGGTTTCGGTGCTTATTTTTCAAACCAGGGTTTAGAGCTATTAGACCATAATTATAATTACATTCGTCTCTTTTCTACACCCTCACTATTCTTTTTGTACTAAAAACAAAAGAGAAATATGATATTGCGGATTTACGATAGTTCACTGGAATAATTTTTATTCAAGTTATTTAAATATTAATGTAAAATTTAAATATGATTTTTTAAACAAAAGATTAACAAAATTATTTAATAAATAGATTACAAAAAAGATATCCGTTCCCTCCAAAACTTTTTTCCCCAATTTGGTTTACGAGATTTTACTAATGTTATTTTTAATTTAATTTATTTTGTTCTAAGTGTAACAAAAATAAATTTGTGTACTGTATATTTAAAAACTAAATAAAAATATTTAAAAACTACATAAAAAATTATTTACAAAACAATAGGCAATGATATGACTATATTATGAAATCAGTGTGGAAATAAGAAAACAAAGTGAACAAATTTTGACCGCTATGATTAGTGGAGTACATTGGAAGAAGGGAGTGATATTTTATCATTTTCCTTTTAAGTAAAAAATGGTGTGCTCAACTTTAATCTTCGAACTTTGATTTACATCGACATATCCTACCAAAGAGCGTTATTTTCACTATAACACTTTTGTATGATATTCTTAAAGAACCGTGCTACAGTTACACCACACATGACATCAAGCTTAACATCGTTAGTGTCTCATTATCAATGACTGACTCATAAGTAATAATTGTGTGCGATTATAGCTAATAATCTCGACCCTTTATGTCACTTTTGAGATTAAAATATCGTTTTCCATTTTTAACTGAGAGAAATGAAAATACTTTTTTAAAAAAACAACAGGTGAAATTGAACTTACTGTAAACAAGAGCTGCTGCAAGCTCGTTTATTATCCTTGCCCAAGTGCCTACCCACCCCACATCAATGGTAAACCTGCGGAGCCAAGCCATCATCACATGCATGTCATTAAATTAGTCATCAAAGAAAACTAAGTTGTCCTTTGGAATTTACGAGATAAAGAGTGGTGATTCCGTGCACCCACGCCTAATTCGTGGATCTTCTCACATAAGTTATTGGACTTAGAATCTATTGGGGAAAAGGCTCGTTTCACCCAAGTTGATGTGCCAGATTCTAATTTTCATGGTGTGTTTGGAAACTTGAATTTGGATTTCAAATTTGGATTTGATCCAAATTACTTGTTTGGGAACTCAACAAATTTGGATTTGAATTTAGACCAAATTCTTGTTATTCAAAATTAACCCAACTACAAATCCACACATCTCTCCATGTCATTTACAAATTCAAGTCCAATTTTTCTTTAATTTACAACTCGTAATTAAAGAGTGATCTTCCCTTATGCAACAACAATTCCTTATATATCAACCCGCTTCCGTTGTCGTCTTTGCCGACTTCAAAATTCAAATTCTAAAGTTTGAATTCTATGACTTCCAAACAATATTTAAAATTTGAAATCATGAGATTCCAAATATTGGAATTGAAATCTAAAGTTTCAAATGAATTCTAGTTCCCAAACACTACCTAATCCTAATCCTAATTGCTGAATCCTAATACTAATCGAGTGCTTCTTTGGTGCACCTTGGGACTTGGGTGCATACCATTTTTGTAGACCTCACATGAAAAATATTTTCTTTTTATAAAAAAAATAAATGTTTATTTAAAAAGTAAAAAAATACTTATTTTGCTCATATGTAGGTCTAGACTTTAGATCTACTATAGAATTTGTCATACTAATCTTAATCCAAATGCTAAGGAGACCACATCAACAAGGTCCATATAATTGGAACGCACGTGACGATAAAAGAGAGTTTTAGCCATCAAAGCAAACTAAGTTGTTAAGTTATTGCACAGGATTTATCCTCAAGACCCCCCTTTGTCTCAATAAAAGTTTCCACCTTTGAATGACACATAGATGATGAAAAGTAATATTGTGTGGTTCAAAGTGATTCAGACAAGAGAGAAGTTATAAAGACCATAATTTTTTTAAAGTGGAAAGTGATGCAAACCAGAGAAAACTTGTGATTTTCATATAATAGATGTACAAGAATGTATGATTAAAAAAGTTGAGGAAACTCAAATTGTTGCGGAAAAAATTATTCAATTAAAATTTATTTTATTTAAAATTTGAATATTTAGAAAAATAATTTTGAGTAATTAAGAATGTGAATTCAGCAATAAAATAAGAAGGCAACTTACTTTCTCATAGGGTGGCCGGCGTTCCAACCATTTAGGAGTAATGCAAAATACATAGTTCCTACGGCAAAGACAAAGTGAAAGAATCCATAGTTGTATGGAACATCATCTGCATCTTGATGCTCTTCGTGTTCCCTCCTGAACTACATGCATGAAGATTTTCAAAATTACTAAGGCAGGTTCCGTTCAATTTATTTTTTCTGCTTATTTTTATTATAATCAGATCAGGTCAGATCATACCAGATCAGACCAAATCAGATCAGAAACAACTTTAATTATGCCCAAGATATATCAACTTTATTTGATATACATGGGTGTTTATATAAGTGAGAATCCCTATATGAATTAGGATTCACCAAATATGGAAACTAACATAAATAACAATTCTACCATAACTACACTTCTTTCCATATATGCCTAACATCCCCCCTCAAGCTGAACGTCGTGAAACGAGAGGAAGCTTGGCAACCAGTGTGGAGTAGCGTGGTGAAGAGAGAGCCTTTGTGAGAAGATCCGCTAACTGCTCACTGGAAGGAACATAGGAGACTGTCATTTTTTCGGCAATTACCTGTTCGCGTACAAAGTGACAGTCGGTGCCGACATGCTTCATGCGTTTATGGAACACTGGATTCTTGGTTAGGCAGATGGTGGATTGGTTGTCGCAGAGTAGGTGTGGAGGAGGTAGCTTAATCTGCAAAATATCAAACAAATAGGTGATCCACATCACCTCTACTGCTGCGGCCGAGAGGGCCCTGTACTCGGCCTCGGTGGATGAGCGAGAGACACGACTCTGTTTTTCCGTACTCCAAGAGATTAAATTATGCCCAAGATATATCAAATAACCTGTAACAGACCGTCCATCTGTCATATCATTGGCCCAGTCTGAATCAGAGTATGCATGGATGGTTTGTGGGCCACGCCGAAATATTAACACATGGTCAATGGTCCCCTTGACATAGCGGAGAATGCGTTTCAACGATTGAAAGTCCTGCTCAGTAGGTGCATACA